AAAAATAGCTTTCCGTTTCACGTTAAACAGGTTCCGTTTTATCAAGGGTTTAATCCTATGTTAAACTATAGAAATCTGCCGGTACCATAAAAAATTTCCGCACAGAACAGGATTCCGTCTTATCAAGGGTTCGCATAAGACAGGTTTTACTGTATTAAGAATCATTATTAGCAAAATAGCACCCACTACAAAAAAAAAAATATTAGATCTGCCATTGCAATACGCTTATAACGTTAACATTTCAACAAGCCGACAGGCGCAAACGAATATAATCATAAGAACAACAAACGAAGATAATAGTTATCAGAACACAGACACGATAATTGCGATAGTTCGAGGTGGCGTCGGAGCACGTGCGATACGTTATCAACATCGGTATCATGATAATGTTTGATAAGCCAAAACGATTTACACATTATTCCGAGTAAATAAATAAATAATAAGTAAAACATCCGTCTTGATTAAATTAGCTACGCGAGCACGTTCAAATAACATATAATTTGTCATCGAAGTGTAACGTATTCATAAAAGATGTATTTGTTTTGGTTACTGCGGTAGTTCGACATTTCGGCGGCCGTTAGTTCTGGAAAATTGTACCCATATTCTGTGGGTATACATTTATCTCAATCGTCATTGCATTGCTTGCAATTTCTGGGTTGAGTCTACTTGACGAAGAAAAATTAGTGCAACTCCAATCATAAATGATAGGTAATAATCATAATATGTATGGTAATGCATGCGACAAAATGTGATCGTTTCCCGTGGATTAAACCCGTGACATTTGTCTAAATTATAGTTCATCAACCGAATTTTCCCGGAGGCGATAAGCGTATTGTCAAGATATTCATGATGACTTATAAGTATATTTAAAATAAATATTATGCATTTTGTAGGTAAAGGTGGGCTTTGTATTAGATTATTTTACTAATAATCACTCCTGTACGCGCATTTAATCTAATGTATAAACACAATAAATGGTCAAATAATTTATTAATTAATGATTTACATACTTTAACACTAGAATGCAATTTATAAAATATAATTTAATATAATACAATGCAACTTAGTGGTCGCCACCGTAATAATTACCATGTACTTCGCGTATCACAGGTCCGTGTCGATGATTGTTGCGTAACGACCACAACATTGTTATCGCGCTCACCGCCACCGCCAACCGACTCGCCGCATCCATTCGCATGCGTCGCTCTCAGTGTTACGACAACGTTGCTCTGCACAGTTAACCGCGTAACTGCAGCCGTCTAGGTGCTCGAACGTCGTTCCGTCTCGCCGCCACTGTTTCCTCAAATTCCAATTCAGATACGTAAGTTATATTATAATTTGTTTGGAGGTGCGTATTAACAAAGGTATTTACTGCTTGTAGGCCTGTGAAAAACCGCCACTTTAAATTATTAAAATGTATTAAATATTTGTAATTGTATCGCATGTATATATATGTATGTGTGTATGCGTGTATAATATACTATTTTTATTTGAAATTTTAAAGTCGGCAATAACAATCTCCAAGTTTTCCATACTTTTTAATTTTTATTTACTCTCAGGTCTGTAAAACAGCCGTCAACAAAATAATCGTAGAACCACCGAATGTTGATAATATTATGATCTTCAAATAATTAAAAATATATTTTATTCTGTTGGGTAATAGATTCGTTCACACATTGATTTTATAATAGAAATATTATAAATGTCCATGAGTCAACATAATAATTTTAAAAATGTCCTTTTAAAATGTACCACTATAATGCATGCAAATACGCCGCAATTCGAAAAATGAGGTATTGTAGTATTTCTGTTATATCTGTTCCCTAAAACACGATAATACTCCTGATTTGGCTCTTGCAATTTTTATTCACCCGATAAAGTTAGATTCATGTCTGGATTCGTACGCAGAAATACTGAAACGTATAAAACTGGCTGTGTTCTTCTAAAAGATTTTCAAAGTAAACCAGCATATACCGGGGTTACCTGACCGTGAACACTTTTTATTTTCCCACGCGGTTAATACCGGCAGGTGTTCGTAAATAATGTTATCGTGGTGGTAGCGTGTCCAGAGGTTAGTTTTTCAAACTCGAATTCATAGTGCTCACTTCGGTTCACGTAATAATTTTATTGTTAAACAGTTCCGGTTATTTTTATATAGGATGTATAGTTGATTAAAAAATCGTTAGTGATTATATAATTCTGAATTATTTATTTAAATATATATGTTATATTAATTATAAAAAATTACCAGAATATTTAACCAGAACTGTAAAAAACCAATGCATTAAATATCCTTAAAATTTATTCGTATAAAATCCAAAAAAGTATTAAAACAATAATTTTAAGTAGAGAACAACGGTAAAATAATGAGAAATTTAAGTAAACGATGATAATGTCGATAAAATATAAAAATACCCACATGCATTTCTTGAATTATATATTTCCATATAAATAAGAATATTAATTGTAATATAATGTTTTAAATATTTAAATATATTATATTCACTATGTTTTGAGCTTTTTGGTGTGATTTATTTTTTTTAAGACCTCTTTAAAAATTTATTTACGGTTATGAAACTATTAAAAATAATTTCTACACTATCAAAATATGTAATTTAAAAACAAACATTTTTTTTTATTTTTTAAACTATTGAATTATAAAAATCTTCATGAAGGTTAAGATTTGAAACAAAGAAGTGTGTTTTAGTAATAATGGTATAGACATTGAATTTTGTTGGATGATTTGGCTGAGTTCTCAAAAAACTGGTGAACTGGTGAAGGGAGTTGGGAAGATTTATCTCCCTGGGCTGGTGGCAATTATCAGATTATGTGTCAGTCTGGAAGCATCAGAATCATATTATACATATTATATAAATGTCTAACTGTTAGGTACATTTTAATATTATATTAAAATACTTATTGTCAATCACGTTTATTTATTTAATAATATTGTGATAGGTGATAGATTAAAAATAAGAGTTGTATTAAATAGTGTTGTCCAAGGCTGGATTGGATCTACCAGAAATTAATATGCAGATATAAGTAAAAACTGATGATACAATTTTCAAAAATTGTGTACAACAAAGATTACTCGTCAATTATGTTGTTACAAGTATGTTTATTAAAAATAAAACGAGTCGTTAGATGATTAAATCTTCCTAGGTCGTTCTGTTCTCAGTTCTATACTACCTACTCTTAATCCTTGTATAATAAATTTACTTTTATATAATCACGCTTTGATTTTAATCTATGATTAACACATCTTTATTTAATTGAGCATATTAATTTAGATTACTTCTTCTGAACATGTTGAAAAATATTTGATGTTAAAGAAATCTAAAAATTTTAAAATAAAATTTCTCGACTGTGTAGCTATCAATTAAATTCCTGATATCAAAAAAATATATTTCTTACTAAGTCCTGAATTTTTTTTATCTTTTGATGAAGAGTATACACATGAAAATGATTTCTCGTGGGCTTTCATTTTTATTTTATCAACTACTTACAATAACATTCATACAACTACTAACACATAAAATTATAAACATTCTTAAATATTTCTAAATAATCAAATTTATGAAAATAAGGACAAGTTTTAACCAATACCAAAAATAATCGCTAAACATTTTGAAAAATATAAAATATAATTACAAACTAAAATAACTAGACAAAATTACTCTTCAGTTCAAGATTAAATATCCAAAATAAATTTCATAAAAGAAAAGAAAATATATAAATTATTTATACAAGATTATTAAGAGTTTATTATGTAATTTGTATAATATTGTTTTTATAATTTTGTTTTTTCGACATGAATGTCAATTATAAATTAGTAAGTAGAATGTATTATTATGTATTTACAAATTATTTTATATTTTTATTTTTAATAATACTGTAAATTATTTTATAATGGTTATATTAACCACATATATTACCTATATTATTATTGATAATAATTATAAACTTAAGTGTTTTTATAAGATACGTGTCAGGAATTGCTTCTATTAAAAATGTATATTAAGTTATGATATATCTTTTAAAGTTTTAATATTCTTTCTAAATATCATTTGATCTATTTTATAACTTATTTTATTACGAAGTACGAATTAATTTAATTGGTAATATAAAAAATCACATTTCTTGTGTAATATCGAACGCTATTAAGAAAAAATATACATAAATAATTTGTATTCATTCGTAATAGCTTGAACGTATAAAATGTGCGTGTTTAAATAATTTTTTTATTATCTATTATAAAACTTACATCGGTTCCTAGTATATAAATAATATAATAACTTAACCTCATTAAAAATTAATTTTTCATACATAATAATAACGTGTTTTATGTTTTACCTAGAAGTATGTATGAAATATATGCTAAAACTCATAATAATACCTAAATATATAATAACAAATAATAAAATATTTAAAAAAAATACATGTGCTCATATCTAAAATATGCTAATGTATGCGAGTTCGTGTTGGAAACCGGCTTTTAAAAATAATATTGCTGATAGTGTTTTGATATTTTCTAGTAATAGGTATTTGATGATAACGTCAAGTGGTATTATCGGATGGGTATAAGATATTATTATTAATCTTTTGGCTGAGTTGACCAAACGACCATGTGAAATCTGAATTTCATTTACTAATATAAACTTATAAGTAGTCTTATATTAGTTTATTAACAATATTTTTGTCTCTAATGTATATAATATAAATAAAACTTTTTGTTTTATATTTGACAAATGAATTTGGCATTTTTAGGAGGCGTTATTTCATTTTACGTATTTTATTTGTAGTATTTTGTTTGTTATGTTTAGTATAATAGCTTGATCTGTTTTTGAAAACATTAAATTAGCTGTTGTTTTTGTAGAAGTTTTGGAGTTATTGATTTTAAATTTAGATGTGGGTTGTTTTAATTCATAGTTATTCATGTTTGATTAAATTTTCATTGTAATTTTGTCCGTTTAATTGGGCCGTGGTGTACCAACAACGGAGTATATACATGTTACGGGTAATATGGAATACCGGGCAATGTATACATTGTTCAGTTCATTTGGTTCTGCCAGGGTAATTTGAATTTCGAATAGAAATAAATATATTAGGCACGGTGGTAGAAAATTGTATGGAATATGGAATAAATAAAAAGTATAAATATGTTACTAGTCAGACAATAATGTCATATTTAAATATTTGTGGGTTATGTCAGAGAAAAGGAAGTACGAAGAAAAAAAATTAATTAAATAATTAAATAATCAATTATTTTTTCGGAAATGAATTCGAGGTGTTAAATTGACCTTATTGATATTCAAGCGCAATTAGTTGGACATTTCAAATTTATATGTATCTACCGAGATCATTTGACAAAATTCGTAATACTTGAACCATTAAGATACAAAAATATTGAAGCAGTTGTTAATGTACTAATAGATATATTTACCCTATTTGAAGCACTCGCTTATTCACCAAAGTGATAATGAACGTGAATTCGTAAATAAAATAATCTCTGCATTTTTTTACTATGTGAAAAGATTTGAAAATAATTCTCGGTAAGCCGAAACATTCCTAAAGCTAAATTTCAGTTGAAAGAGCAAATCAAGATGTCGAAAACATGCTTGCAACATGGCTCCAATACAATTAAGAATAATAAATTATTTATAAAATATTATTACCATAATAAAATAATATTTTACACTATTACTTTCTGCAGTTATTGGTTTAAGTTCATTTTCTTGTACTGTCATCACGTCATATTAGCTCAAAACCTCTATTGGTTAATCATAAATATCAATTATTGTTCATATATTATTTTCTGATTTTATCAACATAGCTAATTACTTTTATCAGTCATTTATGAGTAGAAGAATGAAAATAGTGAATAAAAAATATTATACTTATATTTTATACCTTGTTCTGTATTATAATAATATTATAACAAATTATTTGTAAAATATTATAAAACTATTATTAAAAGTATAACAATTATTTATTTCTAATTGAGATGTATGTTTCCCGAGAAATGTATATGTTACCGGAAAAGATGACATTCAGTCAGTGTTGACAATGACTAGTGAATAACGATAATGCCTAATTTAGTAAGGAATTAACGTCAATAACTAGTCATTGATGACAATTCCTAATAAAAGAAGGCATTGATGATAACGCATTTCATTTAAATCCATTTTTAAACAGATTGTTGAAAAAAGAACAATGTTATTACACGTTACTATTCACTACTTAAATGCACAAATAGTACCGTACAGTCACTTGCGGGAGTGACCATAACGATACCAGCTACGATAATTCTGTATAGTCAAT